ATCTAGGATTACAGGGAAAACATAGAGAACATGTAACCCAGAGTAAACTCAAGGAAATGGTCAAACTTTTGCAACATTACTGTTATGCCTTTGTAACAACCTTCATTTAAAAGAAAAACTTTTTCTCTGGTTATATATTATAGAAATATATTATAGAAATATATTATAGAAATTCAAAACATCGTTGTTATTTTCTACAACAAAGCAAAAGATTTCAATTTCACATACAAATAACTTTGACAGTAAAAAATTCACAAAAGTTATAGTAACCATCCTTGTAGGATATCTCCACGCAACAAGTTATATACTTTACTAACTCTGAAGACCTGTTTCTTAGCAAAAATTCTCAGGATATCCTTGGTTTTTAAGGTAAAAATTGAAAATCATTTAGTGTGGGGTTTGTGTAAAAGTGATTTTCGGATTAATTCAGGTGAGACAAGGAAGGCAATTGACAGAATTGACCTCTTTTTCAGATAGAAATCAACGAAATCTTTTTGTTGTTTCTCGAAACAAAATATTGTTTAAAGTGCTAAAGTAAAATGTTATATATCCACAGCTTGTTTTTTTAGATAATTTACTTCATAATCTGTCATATTTCTAATATCTCAAATTTTGAACTTATGAAAAAAAGAATTTTTTTATTTACTCTGCATGGTAAGTTTCTATATTTAAATATATGAATTTATGCTTCTACAATGTTTCAGATTTAGGTGAAATATTATTTAAACCTTTTCCCCTAAACAACAAGAAAAATAAGCCTCAGGAAGTGAAATAAACTGAGTTTTAAACATTTCCATCACCATTCATTTTTCACTATGCCAACTTTTGAATTTGAGGGATTCGAGAAGAAATGAAATATTCCTTAGGTCTGAATAAGAAAAAGATCCATGAGAGTTCCAAAAGAAAAATTCTAACCTCAGAAATAGCAATATATTCCTTTTTTGATAGTTCAACATGTTTCCTTCCGGATATTAAAATTGGATAGCGAAATATGAGTCAGCTGTCGAGTTCATGCAATATAAATTCGCGCCATTTAATATCAAGTCTAAACTTAAAATTAAGAAAACACAGTCACAGGAGATTGTAATAGAACTGAGATCGGAACTTATTCATGTTATTTCCTTCTGGAAGCTCAAATTCACATTTATATGGTTATTAAGTTAATTCCTAATGGATATCTCTAAAATATTTATAATCCTGTTAACTGCAGTGGCGTTAATAAGGGGGGTTATTGGGGTTATTTACCCCCCCCCCCTAGAATCCTGGGGGTAATTACCCCTGAACTATTCAGGCCCTGAATAGCAAGGATTACTTCACTTACTGCCCCTACAAATTATTGTTGCCCCCTCCAAAAAAATCATTCCCTATGGATTAATCTGCTTTTAGGACCTTTAAAAAACTTGTGTAAAGTGTTCAGATTTTTAGTCAACATATTCTAAATAATTCTAAATTCTAAAGTAATAGTCAATGTCATTACAATTAGATGTTTTTTTAATATAAAAAAAGGGTATGGGCAATGAAGAATACATCATTAATAATGTCATTTCCATATTAGATTTATTTAAGATCTTAACATACTACATTGACGACAAGAAAATTTTAGAAATTAGAAATTAGAATATAAACAAAACAATATTTTTTCAAAGTTTTGCAGAGTAGCTTTTCTAAAGATTTAAAAAAGTAACATCTTTTTCTTCTAAGAGTGAAAATATTTTTTATGTTACTTAAAATAAATTCAGTTTTATTTTTACAGATCTTTGTAGTTAATGTAAAATGAATAACTAATGAAGTATATAAGGTGAAAGCCGAAAGGTAGGAAATGAAGCCTTTATTTGATCGAGTTTGTAAATGCCAGAAATGAGTTGAAAATGCAAATCAAACCCAACTAAAACCAATAATTTGATAAACATCATAATATTTTTCTGGGGGGTGGGGGGTGGGGGTTAAAAAATTCTAGAAGGGGTTAAAAAAATGCGGCGCGCTTCGCGCTCCACATTAAATAAATATACCCCCCCCTACGCCCCTGATTTTATCTAATGTTTTCAGGCTGTAAGTGTAGTCAATAGTTTAAATGAAAAGCTGCAGGATCGACTCTACACTGGGTAGTTCAAACTACATAGTGCATATACAGTACATGTTGTACCGGCTCGGATTATGCACATCTTAGAGTGGAGTGCGGTACGAAGCATTATCAATTCCAAGTTTTTCTACACAGTATATTGATGAACTAGGGTGTTGTATTCCAATCTAATGTTCCATCTCTAGTGTATGCTTCAGTATACTAGTATCGACCCTTTATTTCCGTTTCATATCTCAACACTGAGACTTGTCAGGCAATGCTAGGACACAATATATACAAGTGAAGATTTAAAGGCTGGCTTAATAGTTCAAACTTTTCAAAAAGAAATTCCTAGGGTCATTTTGAAATTGAAACTGAAAATAAGCAGTGGAAGGTAAAGAAGAATTCGTATAAACAGCTATTTTGTTATAAATAGATTTAGGAAACTGGGTTCAACAAGTATGAAAAACTTTAAAACATGATATGGATCTCTTAAACATTTTCTTTTAAACCAGTCATTGTAAATTTCATGCTCATGGCGACAGAAATATTCGACACGTCAATTTCTGGAAGGGACAAAGTGAGTAAATTCCGGAAAGGAATTGGGTCTTGCAACAACCTTAAATTTTCTAATTCCTATATCTATGATCTGATGGTGTAAACCTTTTATATTTAAAATTTAAACTATTTGATCTAACAATATTCATACATAGTTTGAAATATCTATAAAGCAATAATCAGAAATATCTATAGTTTACAACATTGGGATAAAAAGCTATAGGAATTAGAAAATCAAAGTTTGTAGCAAAGACTCAATTCCATTTTATTTTTTGTTCTATACCTTCATTTGAGTATAAATTGTCACTAGTTTTATGATTATTATGATCTTAAAGTTAGATTTGGCACCCTGAGGTTACAATAAGTTAAGGTAAGAGCTATGGCTTGAATTAAGATAGATATTAGGACTACGGCAGGATAGGAGAACCTCCTCCCATCCAAAACATGTGAGTCAACAAACGTAAATTCAATCTTTTTCTGGAAAAAATCTGCCGGAAAAATAAAGAGGGTTTTATTAAAGGAATTGAGTTTGATATCAAAGGTTTACCCTATCAGATTGCAAAGATATAAGGGTAAAGAAAACTTGAGTTTGTGGCAATGACTCAATTCTTTTGAGTTAGAATGAAGAAGGTATAATAATCATGGTAAACTGGCTAAGTACGCGTTATTGGTATTTTTTTTAAATACATATTTTACATAGTTTAAATATATAGATATATATAATTTCCTAACATTGGTAATATATACATGGATATACATTTTCAGAAAAAGAATTCAACAGCACGCGTATTTAAGTGTACAAAGTTTGTAATGCGAACAATTGAACAGATATAAATTATATTCCTTGATGCTTGATGCATAAATACTTGAGCTTTGAATACAATGTTTTGAATAGTATTAATCGCATTAAACAAGCAAACTTGAAAGGTCAGGAGGGGTTATGGGAGCCTAGCCACCCCCTGGAACACTGAAACAGGGATTTCAGGGAGTTTTCAGGCCCCAACGACTGCTTAGCCCTCTCTGTAAAGAAAAACAAATTTTAAGCCCCCCTGGACAAATTCCTGACTATGCCCCTGAAACTAAACTACACAATACAGAGCGTCAAAATTTCATGATGACTAGGATCTGATTTTTTTAAAAAACTGATTTTATTTTAATATTCAGTAATAATACATAAAAACCTACCTTAAAGTTATGATTCCATGTGTTGGTAGAATCTTGTCCTCCTATTGGTTTGGGTTGGCGGGGAGGAGAAGGCTGGGCGACCCTGCGACGGGAAAGAAACCTACTTTAACAAGGCTGAACCCGGCTCCGAGAGGTTTCTAGTATAAGGTTCGGAAACCCATTCTACCTGCAGACATACTCCCGGGAGCACAACCATAATTTCTTCTTCATAAGTCGTCCTAAATATTCCTTACTCACTACTATTTACTCAGGGTGGACAAAGATCATGATTTATATGAATATATTAAAATGATCTTTATATTTGAAATAAGATGCTGCTGGAAACAATAATATATTATAAACTACCCTCGATTTTGACACTCAAAAGCTTGGTTTGCCTTTTCAATCTAAACAAATTTTGTTTTTTCGATTTCATTGAATAAAACCAAAATTGTCTAAAAAACGCTTTCTATGTAATTGTTTTAAAGGGAGTGACCGGCAAGGTATGGTAGTTGAACTGAGAATGCAATACTGCGGAGAAATTTTCAGGATTCATTTGAGACAAAAAAAAACGTTTTAATGATGAATAATTACTGAGTCGTTACTAGGTCGAATAAAATTTTTTTATTCACACATTGTCATTAATTAATATGAAAACTCGAAGATAAAACACAATCTATGAGTCGTCTCTTAATTGTTTTGTTTAATGGGACACCCTGTATTGAGAAAAGCTAGAACATATTGTGACAATTAATATATTTCAGAAAATTTAAAACAAATGTAGTTAAATAATGTTTAGAGATGTTTAGCCCTAGAATAAATTGGATTCTTTTTTCATCTGTTTTCTTCAAAATAGGTAAATGTGAAATACCAGGATCTTATATCAAAGACTTGAGGAGTTTCCCCCTCCCGTAAATGAAAGATTTGTTAAATTGTAAGTATTTTAAAAAATGTTGCTCTGATATATAAAGAAATTGTCTAGAAATAAAACTAAGTAAACCAAATCTAAAAGGAGCTTTGTAATTCTTAACCTATTAGAATTTCAAGAGAGAAATTATATCTGAATGTATTATATGATAGGCTTTAAATGCGCTATGTATGAGGTATAAATGTTAGTTTTTAAACTTTCCTATTCAAGTCGTCATCTTGCTGTGAGCAAACATAAAAACTCAAAATTTCGCGGATTTTTGGTTAGCATAGGAAGATTTTAATTCACATTTTTGTCTGGGATCAATCGATTCAGCCACTTTGACGTTCAATAGATACAAACAAAAGGCTAAGCCAGATACATAGATAAATGCAAATTGTACAATGTACATGATTTTATAGACTTGCTGCAAAACTTATCCCTTTCGATCAACGGTGATGTCCAGTTTATCTTGCCATGGCAATTTTGCTTTTTTTCCAAAGAGCTTGAATGACAGATGACTAGTTAATGTATCTTTTATTAAATCGGACAATTAACTGTTAAGTTGTGATCTCCTTAAACCGACCAAAAGTGTTAAAATATATTTTTTTATTTGTTTGTTTTGATATATTTTACAAATATATTTTTCTAGTCTATATATTCAAATAAATGAATGGAAGAACGGAACACATGAATAAATCAATTAAAATTACATGTTTATCCAGGTGAGTGTATTGCCGGAGATGACGAGGAACGTCTCCCTATTCTAACCGAGGAGGTTACAAACCTAACGGTTGTAGCAGGACGTGAAGCAATCCTATCCTGCCATGTCAGTCATCTTGGATCCTACAAGGTTTGATATCATAAAATTTAGACAAACCGAAACTAAAAGAAATATGTTGCCACCATTGGTCGATTCGGAATTTAGTTAGCCACAGGAAGTCATAGTTCCAAGAACTCATGCAATATTTGGTGTGAATTTTGCCCATAACTGTTTAAAACTACAAAAAAAAAAAAATTTGTATAGAAATGGGGACAAAAAAGTATATGTGGGTTAGTGAGGTAAACTTAAATGAAAAAAACATGGCTGCACTTTAAAGTCGACCCAGTCTTATAAATCATGTTTCTATCTGTAGGTTTGTGTTTCTATCTGTAGGTTTGTGTTTCTATCTGTAGGTTTGTATTTGACTCTGAATAGTTTTTGTTTTTGTTTTTGCCAGTAGATTCGACAGATCTTCTATTGAGACAAATCTGTCCAATTTTACCATGAATTCCTGAGTATTCTGGCAATCTGCCTTCAATAAATGTTTATACAGACGTACACAAGAACATTCTAGAACAGACAACCCCCACCAAGATTTTATTTTAAACTGAAAAATGATTATATCATTAAAAAACAGTAAAACGATTTGTATCATCGAAAAACAAACAAAAACATTCTTCAACGACACATCCACTTTATGCAGTCCGCGGCAGTAACCCCCCATCTTTTTCTCCCTCGAATCTCTATCTATAAATCTCTCTACTTGATTATTAGTCTAATCATCTCTTTTCACCCATCCATTTAAAATTTATCTAATCATCTAATTTATTTCCTGATTTTCACATTGTTCTCTCTATTTGGATTCTTTCATCACTTTCATAACTTTAAAATTCATCTTATTTTTAAGAGAGAAGTTTTTTCAGAAAGTTTGAAGAAAAGCTAAGAAGACAATATGTAATGCATATTTAAAACATAAATAGACGATAAAAATCTTCAATCTATTATAGTTCATGATTCTTTGTTTGGATCCAACAACCGTTAAAACATCTACACCAATTTTCCCTATTCTTTTGGTACCTCACATGGCCCCAAGAAAGATTTTCTTGCTGGTCACAATCTAAGGATCTTTAAAATTTGCCAAAAAAAAATATATTTTCAATACTACTCTGTCCTTTAGCCTCGATATAATAATGTTGATTACCAAGATATCTTTGATTCATAAAATTGGGAAAATGTAACCCTAGCATTAAATTTTAATTCCACAGACTAGTGAGAAAATTATGTATATATCTCGTTTCAGATATATCCTTCATAAAGTAAATTTTTAAAGAACCTAGTAACGAATTCAAGGGATAACATTTTTTTTGGTTCAGGTTGCCTGGGTTAGGGTGGATACTCAGACAATTCTAACTATTCATAATAGTATTATTACAAGAAACCAACGGGTCTCATTATCCCACAGGTAAAAAACTAGAAAATAAATTCAAATAAAAAGATTAATCTTTAATAAACTTTATACTCAATATAAAAATATATATATATTTTCTATTATAGGGGGTTCAAGAAGATAACCTTTAATCTTGTAATTTTCTTTTTCTCTAAATAACCTGACCTTAAATATATACTTGATAAATAATGATTATAATTGACCAGAGAGTGAAAAATGTTTTTGTTTTCTATTCAGGGAGCATAAAGAATGGAAACTACATATCTCAAATATTCAAGAGTCAGATAGGGGCTGGTATATGTGTCAGGTAGCGGGCATTCTTTATTTTCGTCCTCATATACTACATCAAACATCATGCATATTGTATCCTGTATCCTGTATTCTGTATTTTGTGTTCCGTATCCTGTATGCTGTATTCTGTGTTCCTTATTTTGTATATTTAAAAATAGACTACTAAATTCTCTTTTTGAAAATTACACAGTGAAACCCTTAATAACGAATACATCGGAAGAATTTATAAAATGTCGTCTTGACAATTTTTTAATGAGTTTTCTACTATATTTCGTAAATTTCAATATTTGCGAAAATAAATAAATAGCCATGAATATGCGGGAACAGTTTTAAAGAGTTCCATATAATCATTTAATTAAAAAACTAAATATCTGCAACATTTCATTATCAGAAAGTGAAGAATACGACATTTGATGAATTCTTTCGATGTATTCGTGATTAAGGGTTTTACTGTAGGACAATGTGTTATAAACCGAATTGCTATTCATGTAAAACTAATAAGATATGTTTTAATATGCTTTGATATTTGTTGTGTACATGTCAGAAAATTACTTTAAACGATCTAGTTATTCGAATTAATGTATAAACTATTTTTCATATGATAAATTTTCACCCTGATCTCTAATCGTTCTCCTTACATCTATTTAATTGAAATATTTTGTTATTATTACTAAAATTAGGTGGAAAAAATAATCAAAACAGCCAAGAGCTATTTTCCACCTAATTGCTTTATACTTGTACTGTTAATTAATCATCAATTTGTAATTGTAAACTCTATCTGTATACAGATACATTTATTTTAGCAATAAACTTTATCTTATCTTATCTTATCTTATCTTATCCTGTTTTTTGTATTACTTATCTTGCATCCTGTATTTAGTATCCTGTACCCTGTATTATGTTCCCTACAGAATGAATCCTGTATCCTGAACCCTGAATCCTGAATCCTGTATCCTGTATCCTGAACCCTGCATCCTGAATCCTGTATCCTGTATCCTGAACCCTGAATCCTGAACCCTGAATCCTGTATCCTGTATCCTGAACCCCGTATCCTGTATCCTGAATCATGTATCCTGTATCCTGAACCCTGAATCCTGAATCCTGTATCCTGTATCCTGTATCCTGAACCCTGAATCCTAGATTCTGTATCCTGTATCCTGTATCCTGAACCCTGAATCCTAGATTCTGTATCCTGAACCCTGTATCCTGTTTCTAGGTGAACACAGATCCAATGAGGAGTAAACGAGGATATCTCGAGGTGACTGTTCCTCCAAGTATCTTGGATGCAAGGTAGATTCAAAATTCGTTCTACTTTAAAATAAATTTGGATTTAACAAAAAAAAAATTTAAATAGCCTTTTTTGATTGTAGGTTATAGTTTTTTTGTCACAACTGACAAAACGTTTCAGATTCCAAATTTCGGTTCTTGTTTGATATAATTTTACCCAATAAAGGGATTCTTCTTGTTATTTAAATTGTTATCAAATGTTTCTGTACCGGTAATTTTAAAGGCGCATGGCATACAGGGTTCTCCACAATACACGAAATATGACAGCTGAGAGACGACTTGAATGTCGTCTTTGATTTTTGAAATTTTTAAACCTCCATAATTTTTGAAACAATAATCACAAAATTCCTTTAGAAATGACATTTACAAAATTATATATTAAATAAAACCCAAATTGTCGAAATCTAAACGAAATCCTTTATATCTGCGGTAATTTCATAAGCACAACAAGAGAATGAATGCCGCAAAAAAAAATATGAGACGACCTTCAAGTTATGTTTCTTGGAACCCCATGAACTAAATCGAAATCTAACTCTACCATGAATCTGATTATTTACTCTCCTTCTTAAATTCTGACAAATATTGTTAAAATCTAGAAGTTCTACAGATCTAGTTGTCAAGGAAAAGGATCGGGTCAACCTAACCTGTGAAGCTCGAGGATATCCTGAACCACAGGTTAAACAGTAGTTTAGCTCTAGATACAGTAGAATAGATTGCTAATGTGAGAGCTGTATTTGGATAAATTGAATTTCACTCTGTATCCTATAACCTCTGAGATGGTACATGTTATTGTATACAAACAACATTGCGGGGTTAATTAGTAGATAAAATATCAAATTACAATCTAATCATTATGATTTTAAAGTTTATTGTTTTTTACCATATACTGCTTGGGGGGGGGGGGGAAAGCTTTTTGCGGGCCCCCCCCCCCCCCTCCGACCCTAACCCATTAATAGATGGAGTAAAGATTTTAAAAACTAACAAAAACAATTTTTATTTGTCTACCTCTTGATATTATTGAACAGGGTGTCCCAATAAACATGGGAATTCAGTGACGCATTCGATATCGTCTTTTTGAATAATTCTTTGATTTAGTATGGTGATACCTACCGAGAAAGCTGTATTCTGTAAGAGTTTCGTCTGCTATGTTCACAATTTGTTTGTTTATCTTTTGACTGCATACGGTTGAACTTAGTAAGACAAGAAAATTACAGCTACAAACAGCTAGTAAACTTGTCCGTCTTCACTGTACATCTTGCGGAGACATTACAGACACATCTTTACAGCCATTTACCGCTTTCATAAAATAAACTCTAGCAGACGTAATAATATTATGTCTTTTAAAATTAAGTATTACAATGCTAATTCATAACAAAGACGATCTCGAATTCGTCACTGAATTCCCATGTTTATTGGGACACCCTGTACCACTAATTCACTATCAATTTAACATACAATTTAGAACATTTTAAAACTTTATTGCATTGAAAAAATTAGGTACATAATTATTTAAAAGCATATCATATATATTTACAGTTTTGAAACTTGGTCTCAATTGTAAAAAGAAAATGTAAAATTTGCTCTTGCCAATCGACAACTCTGCTGCACTCCAGAAAAGTTGAAGAGCGATCCTGAAATAAAATAAAATTAATAGTTTTAAAAATGATTAAATTAAAATTTCAATAGAAAAATGTTTAGGTTTTTAAAGGGATTGAAAATGGTAAGTGGTGTATGATAACATTTAATAACAATCCCCCTCTTCCCCTTTTTCTTTCCTCCTGAGAAAGAAAGTTAACTTAATAAAATTGTAATCATACCGTGATTTTCACTAATTGTATCTGTAAAACAGTCCACATTTTGACAGATATAGAATTGGCCAAAGCATCGCCATTTTTTCTTATTTTGAAAGGACTTCCGACTTTAATGTGTTTTTTGAGTCCAATTGTCATCATTATCTCTAACATGTATGAAGCAAGCAGCAACTAATCTTTGTTCTAGTTCTTTGAAATTCAACTTTCAACTAGTCTGTCTGCAATATTTGTAAAGAAACCCCCATACATATGTACATCGAGTACATAGATACATGCTGCAACTCTTTAAATCCAATGAACTGTATGTCAGTAGCTAAATTGCAATTTTCAAATTCAGCTGAAACCAGGGAGTAAGGAATAGAAGGGAGATATAACTGACGCGGTTCGCCCTACCATATGATTATACATGCTTTACAGACGAAGTACTCCATTTGAATAAGAAATATTTAAATGTCGTCTTATGCACAATTACATGTATTCAGAAAAGGTCATTGAATACATTTAACAGGGCAAAAAGTATGCTGAACATCACCAAATAAATTCACTTTTAAGATGCAAAATTATTAGCAATACAAACGTATTTTTTATATTAAATAAGATTGTTTTTATTTATCATGGTAAAGTAACTACATTTAAAAAATTAAGAGACGACCTTTAAAAAACTCTTTTTCAAATGGAGTACTTCGTCTGTAAACCATGTATAATCATTTAGTAGGGCGAACCGCGTCAGTTATATCTCCCTTCTATTCCTTACTTCCTGGCTGAAACCCTCCGGTATGGTGAAGACGACGTGAGCTATCTATTCTAATTTATCTACATATAAGTGTAAAGGGTTAATTAACAAATAGAAAAATTGCATCTTTTTGTAAAATGTAAAATAATATAATTTAATTTCTAATGGAAATTTTTCCATGCATATCTCATTTTTCTTCTAAAATAGTAATTCAAGGAGCTAGGAGTATTTTTATAACTTTGAGGCGTTTAAAGGTTGTCTTCAAAATCGCAAGTGATCCGGCCAAGTGACTACTACTTAGTCAGGGTTTCCCACAAAGGATGAGAATAAGAATTAGACGACGACTGCAGGGAAATTATTTAGTCCTTTTTCTTACATTAATGGTTCCATAGCTTTAAGCCTTTTGCTTTCTTTGCCAAATAATTTCAAGTGGCTTTCATGCAAATATGTCAATGCCCGATTGACAACATTACCCTTGAAAGCTTTTTTTGATCAATTATGAATTATTTATCAATGTTTATGATTTTGAAAATTGATTATTTTTACTTGTGTTTTCTCTACAAAATTGACTTGAGCATTTTTATTGCACAAAATCATATAAGAATTATCAGAATTTGGAGCAAAAACGACAATATCTTTCACATTATTGATCAGATAAAAGTTTCCAGGGCTATGTTGTGAATTACTATCTTTGCAAATAGTAAATTATAAATACAGACCTTTTTCAGGTTCTCTGGAGAAGAGAAGATGGCGAAATAATCCTTAGTTCGGAGAAAGGTCAAAACGAAATTAATATTTTTTATCTTAACCCTTTAAACCAAATATTAAAAAAATTAAAGACATTTAAAAGTTATCAATCAATATGAATTTAAAATTATGTTAAAAGATTCTTTAGATTTAACATTTTTATGAGTGCACTGTAATTCCTGTAATCAATTATGATTTGGGCCAGCGCTAACTAATCCTTTGAAAAATTATTTGAATATTTCCCCAGGAACTATTTCAAACTTCCTAAACTAGGTTGCTGGAGGGGAGAGGGGGGGGCAAGGGTGGGAATGTAGATGGTGGAGGAGAGGGAAGATTTTCAGTAGGTTTAAATAGAACAACAGATGAAAAACGACGAAGCAGTTTATATTTATGATGATTTGGACTGTGAGTGTATTCGATATGAAATATCAGAAGGAAGGTTTATCTATGGAGAGATGATTTGGTATGGAAGATTTGTAGTGGAATAGCTTGTTTATCCATGTAGTGACTGAGGTAGGAATGATTGATGTGACGTCATGTGACGGAATAGAGTTACAAGCATGTAAGATGGGGTGGATGTAGTGTGTGAAAAAAGAAGGATGTATAGTGTGTTGTAGGTTGGATGAATTAGTGAAAGAGAGAACGACTACTTCCTTTGATCCAACGACTAATGAGAAATATTTCTTTCATCCTTGCTCCTCCAGCTCCTCCTGCTCCTCAAACCTTTCATATTCAATATCCACTATTAGAGTTTCAAACTAATCATTCAAACCCTGGTAATCCACATACTTTACAGGGATTTTTCATAGGGTTTCGCGGTAGTTTTCACGGGATTTAACGAGTAAATAGGAGCAGCAAGAATTATCGACAATTTTAATTTTTACATAATTATAATAATTAGCAGTTTCATGCTTTTTTTCTTCTTCGCTGTATAAAAAACATGATGTTCTGTATTTATAGGGAAGACAATATCTGGTGGCTCTTTACTGTTTGAGAGGGTAGGACGAGAACATATTGGAACATATCTCTGTATTGCCAGCAACGGTGTTCCACCATCAGTTAGCAAAAGGGTTCAGCTTAGAGTACAGTGTAAGTTAAAATTCTAAAAAGAAATTAAGCAAAGAAAGGAAGTTTAATAAAATGGATCTTTTACTTCAAGAAATCATTTCATTTCACACAGAAAATAACGATTTACTCGATTATGTTTTGTATTTTTTGACATTGGGAAGTAAAATGGTGTGTGGAAAAATAAACTGGGTACCGTGGATGAGTTTAAAACTGTGTAGGGTTACAAACTGCAAAAGATTAATTATACAATTTTTGCCACAAATTTAAATCTTTTAATCTCTATATCTTTGCAACCCGATGTCGTAAACCTTTAATATTTCAAACTTCAAATTCAATTTGATTTAAAAATTCAAGTTTGAAATATCAAAGGTTTACAGCATTAGGTTGGAAAGATTTATGGATTAGAAAATTTGGCTGTATGGTAAAAACTCAGTTTCATTAGAGATAAAAAGTAATGATTATTTTCTCCTAGTTCCTCCGATGATGACTGTTCCAAGTCAGTTAGAGAGATCAAGAATTGGGGGTAATGTGTCACTCAGGTATAGGTGCTACGCAACCTTACACGCCATACCATATCCCTAAACCTAGACCTGTAGACCTTGACCGAAACCATTAAGATATTGACCTACACCAGTACCTAGACCTATATCTAGACCTAGACCTAGACCTAGATCTAGACCTAGACCTAGACCTAGATAATTATTTTTGTTTTGTTTTACGATGTACACAAAGAGAACATGTTCACAATTAATTTAGAAGATGGGCGCGAAGCGCCCTCTAAGGCTTGTAAGTTATATTCTAAATGTCATTAATTAATATTTTGATTTTTATTAATACATTCCCGCATATCCAATAGATTGACGTGAGATAAAATTGTTAGAGTTCAGACATTATTATTGACTTAGCAATACATAAATATCATGAAATATATTGGTCTGATTAGATGAGAGCCACAAGGTGTCTCTTTCTGTCTCTGATCACGTGACCCTGATGCGTCTTGATATTCTGAATGTCGGTCACTATGACTTTTCCACTTACAGGTATAAAAAAGAATGACAAATTATAACATTTAAAAATGTTAGAAAGTCCAAACTTTTGTGTTTTTTAAACCAAAGCTCAAGCAGTCCTCGTATCTTTTGAAAGAGTTAAATCAATTCCTCTTGAATATCCTATCAGGGTTGACTACAAATCAATTCCTCTTGAATATCCTAGCAGGGTTGACTACAAATCAAGGCTACAAATTTAAAGTTTTCTACAGCGGAATATCGAGATCAAGCTAATGTATATTAGCTCTTTTTCTGTCGTCCTAAGGATTGAATGAGGGGAGGAAGGCCAACCACATCAATCTCTAGTCCGAACCACATTCTCATCATTTTCTCGTCCGAACCACATCGAAATCCTCGTCCTTTCAATATTATTTTTTTTAAGTGTCCGATTCTTGAAAATAAATACATTTTTTAAAAATATGGCGACGTTAGGGCATAAAACATGACTAGAATAAAGTTTTCCAAGGATTTTTGCGATGTTGGAATCTTCAAATCCACGAGAATGATGTCAAACATTATTTAGGTTCAAAATTGAATCTCTTCTGCCTCCAAAATGGATAACTTTCACTAATAAATATTTATACCAAAGAATTCGCGTGAACATGGTCTTTAATCTTTCCATTTCAACCCATACAAAAAAATCACTAACTTCTGATTTATTTACAAATAAGTTAGATTTGTTGTCCCCACTAAGAGATCACTACTGCCTGCCGCATGCTTAAAATTCTAGAAAAAATAATGTTCAATTTATATTATTCAAATCATTTGCTAAAATTAATTGGTCACAACCCTATGAATTCAAACAGTATTTAATCATATAAAAATTGTAAGTCATATCTCTAACCCAAATTCAGCTGAAATATTACAAAAAGTTGTTTACATCAAGTTTGAGAATGTTTTGCGGCATTTTCCGCGAAAGAAAGGGCCCTAGATACAGACGCTTTTTTGTATAACATCGTTTATGGAGCATTTTCATTTTTACACAAATCTAAAATTTAATTGTGAAAATTTGATATTTCATCTATGCCCTAACGTCGCCATATTTTTAAAAAATGTATTTATTTCCAAGAATCGGACACTTAAAAAAAATAATATTGAAAGGACGAGGATTTCGATGTGGTTCGGACGAGAAAATGATGAGAATGTGGTTCGGACTAGAGATTGATGTGGTTGGCCTTCCTCCCCTCATTGAATAGATTCTTCTTGGATATCGGTTGCTCTAAACCCAGAGGGATAACTAAACTTGTGGGATCAAGAACTTAACCTAATCAATAAAAGTTAATATGTGCATGTGATCTAAATATTATTGACGTTTTGATTTTTATTTGTTTTTTTGTGTAACCTTGAATTTACCTTGATCTAGATGTGTCGCGAAGAACTCCCTGGGGGAATCAGATGGAAAACTCAGATTACAAAGTAAGTTTTTACTTAACTAAAAAATGGCATTGTCAAGGATAACTTGTAGACATTAATACTCAAGTGAAGACTGAAATTTATAATTTCATTTAAACACAGGAATAGAATCTGGAGAGACTGTAACAAGATTGGTTGGAAAATCTTCTCCTGCTCCGATACAAGACTTTTCTCCTGATTCCACTCTTGCTTCATACAAGAACTATCCAAAATACGGAGGTATAATTCATTTAAATGGATATAGGGTTTAAACCTTGCAATCGTGAGGGTTGGAGAACGGATTATATAGTCAGGGTTTGAGAACTGAATTTAAAGCCAAGGATGGAGAACTGAGTATGGAAGCAGGGCTGGAGAACTGATTATAGAGCCAGGGTTAGAGAACTGAATTTAAAGCCAAGGATGGAGAATTGAGTATAGAAGGAGGGCTGTAGAACAGTCAGGATAAGAGAACTAAGTAAAGATTCAGAGATGGTAACGGAGTATAGAGTCAGGGTTGGAGAAATGAGTATAGAGTCAGAGTTGGAGAACTGAGTATAAAGTCAGGGTTGGAGAAGTGAGTATAGAGTCAGGGATGGAGAACTGAGTATAGAGTCAGGGTTGGAGAAATGATTATTTAGTCAGGGTTGGAGAACTGAGTATATAGTCAGAGTTGGAGAACTGAGAATAGAGTCAGGGTTGGAGAACTGAGTATGTAGTCAGGATTAAAGAACTGAGTATATAGTAAGAGTTGGAGAACTGAGTATGTAGCCAGGATTGAAGAACTGAGTATATAGTAAGGATTGGAGAACTGAGTATAGAGTAAGGGTTGGAGAACGAGTATATAGCCAAGGTTGGAGAACTAAAAATAAACTCAAGATCCCATCAGAATAATGACAAGGTCTGAAAGCTGAAGATTGAATCGAAAGCTGTCTAGATATAAATGTAAAGAAAATTAAGTAACCAGTAAAGAAACTGAGCTCTGTAGAGAATAGAGTGTTGAGTGTAGAGCACCTTGAGAGTTATTTGTCACAGTTTCCCCTTTTCTCACAATAGGTTTCCTTGCCACTTTCTTTTAAAAAGTCTACATTTAGAAAATGATTTGTGTTTTTCTTTATGTATAGTAGAGCAGGGAAATATTTGAACCAACCGAGATATAAACAAACTTTTGGTCTTTTCCAAACTTTTATTTATTTTGTGATATAAAACCTTAAAAATAATTTTGTGTTGTATCCTAGATGAAATTCGATAGAATCGATGATGCTTTCTTTGTTATGAAATTTAATTACATCTGTACATATGTATACTTTACTTGGGTGTCTGGTTGTTTGTTTTTATCGTTTTGTTTTTGTTTTACAATGTATACAAAGAAAAAATGTTCACAATTGAAATAGAAGATGGGCACGAAGCGCCCTGAAAGTCTAGTATTACAATTTGTGTTTGTTTGTTCCAAACTAAAAGATATAAACAAAAATAATATTTAGATCGGTCTACTCCGGACTGGAGACAAACTAAATCTCGAACTCGGGATCAGATTGAACTCGAAGCTCAAAATGGTCATGGAAGAGATTCATCTCACTACATCTTCTCCGGTAGCACTGCTAAATACAGGTTTAAGGAAACCTTAGTTTATCTTCTCCTCTTCCACATATCATTCCGTAAACTGCATTAATTTTGTGATTTTTTTTTAGTGAAATATACTAAATTTTATTGTTGAAATGTAGTTAGAGTATCCCTGAAGAGAGAGGGGGGGGGGTGGTCTGTTGAAGGGTTGTGTAGGAATTGAAAACTTTTTCTTTATTCAAATTACATAGGAAACGGTTGGATTTGGAAAGCATGGAATATAAAACTGTGTTCAGAAGAGAAGAATTAAATCTACAAGATGCACTATCATTCAATCTTAAACTTTATTTCAATAAATACAAGTTGTCTAGAATAAACGAAAGAAAAAGTTTTACACCGAATGGTTTTTTTTAAATTTAACTGTTATTTTTTTTTTATTCGTAAAGTTCAAATTCCATAATTACATGTTTTGATCTTACACATGCTATGAACAATGTAATATACGTTCTGAGTCGATTTTTTATCATATCAATACTTAAAAAATATAAGTAGAAACAAGCGACAATTCAAAGTCTGTCCGATCACCAAAAGTTGAACTAAAACATTCATAACTTTGTGAATTTCTGTCCATGATTATCATGTGATTTTACTTTAGTTTTGTTATATAGGACGTTAGGTTAGAGCAATATAAGACGGATGAACAGCTTTGTGAAGCGTCGAACTAAACTTTAAATCTAAACAAAAACTTTTCAATAAAACTTTCAAAATTCTCTTTTTACTAAAATCAATATTCCAAGTTTTGAGAGAATGCGTTGTAATTGATGGGAGATATTAGAGAAGCAAGATAGAGAGATAGAAATATCAAGATAAGAATATAATACAGGGAGGATGAATATTGTGTTAAATATTACTTGAGCTTGTAGACTGTAAATGCTAAAAAACAATGCGACGAAGAATATAATTAGTCAGGTGATTAAGAGATTTTTTTAATACTGCTAAAAATCTTTCTAATCTTTTACAGTCAACCTAGCAAATTCTTTACATTGATGTAAATGTGACCAAATCATTGTATAGTTAGGCAGGACACCAGAGTAAACTCCAAGTAGATTGAATTACAACAAATAGTTAGAAACCGTATAATTAGCCAAGACCCCATGGATAGCCAGTCACTCTATCAATAGCCAGGAACCCTACAGATAGCCAGGAACACTACATATAGCTAAACACCCAATAGATAGCCATGGGCACCCTATAAATAGCAAGGAACTCTACAGATAGCTAGAACGCCTTTAGAGGGCTAGGCACCCTGGAAATAGCCAGGATACTCTCTCTCTCTATATATATATATATATATAATTTCAAGGAACCCTAAAGATAACCATTACCCCTATAGATAGACAGGAACCCTAAAACTAGTCAGGACCCCTTTTGATAGCCGGGAATCGTAAAGATATCCAGAAACCTTATGGATAGCCAGAAACCCTACAGTACAAAACGCCCAGTAACAAAACGCGGAACACCCAATTACAAAAAGCCCAATGCAACAAAACGCCCAATTACAAAATGTTCGATGTTAAAAGTCCACATTTTGTGTGAAAAAAAAACAGTAATGTTCGATTTTTTTCAAGAAAATTCGCAACTTTTCTGTTGAAGTTTCTCAAAGTTAGTTTTCTGGAGTCTCGCGCTGCGGCTAGAAGTTCAAATACATTTCATTTAAACTTTCATTTCTAAGAGAATACTTTGAGCCGTTATAGCGCCTTCAGTGTTCAAGTCACGTCTAAGATTTATGAAAATAAATTTCTTCACTTCGATTTGGAAATTCTGAAAATATTTTTTCTTGTCAATGAAACTTTCTTAACATAACCTAACCCTGAAACAATACACACACCTTTTAACTCCCAAAATTTAAATTTTTTTTATATTCGACTTTTTAGAATTTTATAGCTTTTCTGAATTTGGGTGTTTTTTTGGATTGTGGGCCTTTTGTTGCTTTGGGCGTTTTGTAACATTTGGCGTTTTGTAATTGGGCGTTTTGTTGCATAGGGCGTTTTTAGTTGGGCGTTTTGTTATTTGGAATTTTGTTTTTGGGCGTTTTGTACTCACTCCCTATAGATAACCAAAACCCAACAACAAGGACATTAAAGATAGAGCTGTAGGAACTGTAAATTCTATATCTACCCCTGGTACTAGAACTCATTATAGAATTTATATTCAAGTGTAGAATCTCATTCTCTGGTTTAATGATCCCAACACAAGATATTTCTACATCTAGTAAATACCATTTTACCAGGTTGAATATGTATAGAAGCTATTAGGAAACCAACGCATGGTGAGAAAACAATGCTTTTTTTAAGATTCGGGGCTTTTTCCATTAAAAAGTTAATTTTTGGGAAGGCTATCAAGTTCCTTTTATAATAAGCAGTAAAAATTTGTTCCAATACTTGCAGGAAAACAAAATAATTTGTTTGAAAGTAATTTTATCTGTATCTAGTCTACATTTATGCTATCTAATCAAATGTAGGTTTTAAGATAAATTCAATTCAGGGTACCTTATTTTCTTCCAATATTTGCAGGAAAACAAAATATTATGTTTAAAAGTGATTTTATCTGTATTTAGTAAATCCATGGTGTCTAGTCAAATGTAGGTTTTATAGATTAATTCAATTGTACAAAAAATCTAAACTTTCATGGTTTTCCAAGATAGGTACCTTGTAAATACAGTAAACTTATTCCTTATTCCTTTTTTTGTTCAATTCCTCTTAAAAATGTCATGACAAAGGTCCGAATTCAAGAAATACAAAATCAAAGACTACACAGACTGCTTATCTCCTTTCACAGGGTGGGATACGTAGGCCTAAGCTGACCCGGCACGACATGCTACGTTTTTACGATAGGTTTTTAGAGTGCCATCTCACGGCCACTTGTTGAACATAATACCCATTCAGGGATTAAGTTTTAAACTTTTAAAGAAATACTCCAATTTTAAACATGAAACATAACATTTATGAATTCAGTCTTTTTTTAAGATTTTGTGTTTCGTATCCAAAGGATCCTTAAATGTCCCTGAAAACAGATGTTTGCTGATTGGTCGTGTGAAATAATAATACACAATAGAACATACTGTGGAAAATATCGCATTTTTCAGCTGATAATCGATCTCTGTAACTCTCTTATCTCTGTACAAATATTGTATGTTTTGCACTTTTGCAATATTTTCTTTCACCTTTACTTTTATTAAAAATTACTAAATTTTTGATCATTTTCATCGTTTTTGGCTCAAGATAATATTTTCCATGGGAATACGGATTTAATTATTGTATGAGTATTTATGTTGTATTACAACGCAAATCTAAGATACTCAACTATTAGTTTCGGCTGTACACCATATAGTTCTATCTCTTAGTAAATCTTTTACCTAATTGTATTTGTACCTGGAAAAATCCTGAAAGGTTAGATTTTTTGTACAGTCGAATTTATCTTAAAACGTTACATTTATCTAGTGTGCTGTAGTAGTTTTAAGGGCACAATTACATTATGCTGAAATATATACCCAACTATAAAAACTTCTGCTGAACTTAGAGCATACCTTTGTAACTATGTATAAAAGCTAAGAAATCTCAAATCATGAGGTTGGTTGACGAACGAATGTTCCTAAAAAAAATATTAAAAAAAATACAATGAGAAACAGAAAACTCTGAAAAAAGGAAGAAGACATAAAAGCAATCTTTAAGTGCATTTTAGAATTTGTCAGAAAGCATAAAGTTTTACTGGGTAGCTTGTAAATCAATTTAATGAAAGAAGTGTACACCGCACAATTGCTTTTTCATTTCTTCATTGGACTATTCAAAATCATAATTTTACTCTAAATGTCGTCATCCTATTGCACAGTTTTCTGGTATTAACTGAATACAAGATGAAATTTGGATTTTAAAAAAAACAGAATTGCAATGAGATGATAGAGAGAATATTAAATAAGAAATATAATTTCATCAAATAAAGACGGAAAAGGTTTTATAGTTTTTGTAACTTCTTTTAAAAATTCATTTAGTTTTTCTAAATAGTTTGACTGTTGTTCTCAGCCTTAATGAAGGACAAAAGATATCAATAAAACTTTTGAATATTTTGAAAGGTTAAACAATATAGTTAGATTTTTACATTTTGTTTTAACATTAATAACTAACCTTTATGTATGAAAAATAAGGTATGAAAGAAAAAACAATTAATTGAATAAAATGAAAGAAAAAGAGATTATTTAAAAAGTTATAAAGAAAGAAAGATATTGTAACAAAGATAAAAACAAACAGATTTCCAACTTATTTATTTTATGAGAAACATTGGATGGTTAATTAATTTAAAAGAAGCTGCAGATTCTACTTTTATACTGGATAATTTGACATGAACAGATGTTGGTTCCTGGGATTGAAATGGATTCCATTTAAATATATGTGAGTAGAGAGCTACAGAATGCCAGCATCTCAGGCCTGGTTTATACAATACCTCCTGGATTCAGGGTATTCCGAGCATTAGGGAACATTTCTCTCAGAGCCCAAAATTTAAGACTGGGTATCGTTATGAAAACCAGTTTTGAAACCCGGGTTCAAGAATGGTGTTAGGCAGTTTTGTGGATATCAATATTTTGTTATGAAATATTTTTTTTATTTAATTTCTTCATATTCTCCATTTTTTTAAATCTCTTTAATCAAAATCTACACAACTGTTAATAAGACCCCAAAAAGGAAACTCGGGAGTTTCGTTCTACGATACTCTTAAATTTTGGGCTGGGTATCTCCAGGAATATAACGTACATTTCTCTCAGCAAATCCGAATAAAGCTTCTAATTTGTTCATCTATTTAAAGTTATATTCGCGCAGAAATACAGCAAAAAATGAGGGTTTATCTGTGAGTATTTCTAACAATACAACCAGAGAGTCAAGTAACATCCAGTAACTCTGCAATAAAGAACACTTATATTAATTTTCAAGGTATATCAAGCAGTACAGCCTAAGGGGCGTTTATCTATGGGTATTTCCAGCCATCTATTTGTATGTTTGGCTTGTCTGTTTGTTTGTTTTTATCCAAACGGCTGAACCGATCGGGTCCAATTTTTTCAGCTCAGAGAAGGTTTGCCCGGAAAAATGTCGACAGTTATTAATTTT